GAGAGAGAGAGAGAGAGAGAGAGAGAGAGAGAGAGAGAGAGAGAGAGAGAGAGAGAGCATGAGATCTGTAGATGGATACTTACGTAGAGCCTTACTATATCATTGGCATTGCCATTTGTGTGCGGGCTTAGCCGCACTTGCTTTACTTGTATGATATATATCGTCTAACAGAACTGCTCGGTAAACCGTCGGCAGAGAGGGAGAAGAAGAGGACAACCAACTAGGGGCTGTGACAAACTGTTTCGTCGGAGTTTCACGGAATCATCATATACCGCCGCTCAACGTACGTCCACGTGGGCGGCCTTGTACGCAAGAGGTTCTGAACAGGGGGAGTTGTAAGGAAGAAGATGAAAAAAACGATTATTATTTTTTTTTTGTTCTCTTCTGTTTTTCTTCGCCTTTGCGCTCTGATATTCATGTGACGATATAGTATAAGTAAGACGATATATAAGTAAGAAGATAAAAAATGAATTGGTATCTTTTCTTGTTTCCTTTTTTTTCCCCGCCCCCTTTTGCGCTCTGATATCTTTGTGACGATATATATACGCCGACTGAGATCGGTCTGATATTCATGTGAAGATAGATAAGTAAGACGATGTATAAGTAAGAAGATAAAAAATGAATTGATATCTTTTCTTGTTTCCTTTTTTTTCTTTTTTTTTTTCCCCTTTTGCGCTCTGATATATTTGTGACGATATATATACGCCGGCAGAGATCGGCCCCTCCTTTGTCTTCGTTGTCTATATTGGGACGTCGGCAGCTTCGTTCATTCTCTCCTCCTTCCAGTCCCTCTTCCTCTCGACGTCGTGTTGATGCTAATCTGCTGGCTTCTTTGTCGTACTGACAGCCTGCTCTGCCACGTCGACGGCGTTCGTCATGCATGCGCCGACCCCGCCAGATCAGACCGATCAGACCTAGCATTCCAGTGGTGACCGAATCGGATCTGCGGCCAGACCCCTACCAAAAAATGCTTGTGGCTTGACACCCACAAATGTCTGCCTACCTGAATGGCGTATCAGCGTCAATGTTATATACTGCACATCCCAATTTGTTACGATTGCTTATCAGCTTGACGCTGTTGAAAATCAGTTGTTGTATGACCATAATAGTCCGCCTCCTGAAGGTAGGGAGTAACTATACTCTACCTCGGGAGTCTTCACTGTAAATGTCTTACAGTTAGCATTCCACGGTCTCCACCTTCTTATGCATCATGCGACGCCAGGCGATGGATGATGACCTTAATAACCATCCTCCTCATATTTCTGCCTGGATTTTTTTTTTTTTTTTTTTTAATTTCTGCCTGGATTTTGCACAGACCCGGGCATGTCGCATATGGCGCACTCAATTCGTGCAGCTGCCCTGTGGGAACTGTGGGATGGTGGGAAGATGAAGCAGAGGCTATTTTCAACATACGTAAATGAATTTTTGGCGTGCATTGCCGCCGAATCATACTTTAGTTTGGATTATTGACCGACTCTCGTGTGACACCTGTCGGGACAGGCACGCGGTGCGTCTTGGCTGTGTGCGGAATTCATCACCTATGCCATCAACATTATCAATCTATTGCAGCCGCCGCCGTCTGTGCCGAAGGGTGTTCAACATTTCCTCATTGTACACACATCCCTCCATATCACCCGGATATTCGTTGTCCCTTTGCTGCGCAAGGACGCTATCAGAACTGCAGGATGCCGCACTGTGATGAACGTCCTGCTGTTTTTTTGACATGTGGACAGCATGTCCTTTGTCAGGACTGTTTTGATGGGATGGGATGGGATGGTCCGTGCTAGCCGTCCTGCTGAATGCTGTGCGGAAGCAGATCTTCTTGGGTATCCGTGTGAACATCCACGTCCTCCTCAGCGTGTCTGTCCTATCTGCTCGTGGTGGGGGCTCTTCTTCCTGACTGGTGAATAGAATCAAGCGGGTCAGGAGCAACACTAGTTGTAGGACAGATAAAGCTTTCGATCCTACCAACAGATGTGGAGTTGAAGAAAGAAGGAACGAAAAAATTGAAAAAACGGAAAGGAAAAAAGAAAGAAAGAAAGAAAGTACAAATTTCTGAAGCAAAGAAAAAAGAAAACAAGAAAAAAACATATATATAAAAACTGAATTCATTTTTCCCTGTTTTTCTTTCTTTTTTTCCTTCTTTTTTTTTCCCGCATTTGTGCTCTGATATTCTTGTGACAATATATACTCCGACGTTGCTAGCTCTCTGCTTTTGTAGATGATGCGGCGAGCGTCGGGCCTGTACTAGCAGGCTCTTCTTTGGTTATGGTAGAAAATGTTTCTGGATTCTCTTGTCAGTGCATGCAAGAATTCATTTATGTCGAAAATAGCCTGAATCATCGTCCTATCATCCCCTTTTTTTTGTGTTGCTCATTCTTCCCCGTTGCTGGGGTGTTTCGTTTTGCGGGCCTACTGTATGGTTCCGTTTTTTTTAGTATGGATATTGTAGATTTGTTATGGTAATCTTGTCTGCATCCCGGTTGGTTTTGTCCCGTTATTCGGTCTATTCAGTCAGCAGGTAGCGGTGCTTTATGTGGGACCAGTCATCCGGGCTTGTTTATTGTTTGGGCATCCTGGTTGGTTGTTTCCCGTTGTTCGGCCTTTTGGAGCGCGGGGCGGAGCTTGCATGTGGGAATCGTCATCCGGGATTGTTTTTTATACCGGTCCTCCGGGTTCTTTTTGATTTTTTTGCAGACAAGAATGCTTGACATCCTGGTTGGTCTTGTCCCGTCGTTTGGCCTGTGGGCAGGGGCGGTGCTTGCATGTGGGACTTGTCATCTGGGATCTGTTTTGTTGCCCCCTGTTCTGTATTATTTGGCTGTTCCCTTCCTCTTTTCTTTGCCTCTTTGCCTTTTGGCTGTGTGCAAGTGGGTCGATATGACACACGGGGGTGAGGGCAGCCGCCGATCAATCTACATCCACGTGGGCGGCCTTGTACGCAAGAGATTCTGAACAGGGGGAGTTACAAGGAAGAAGATAAAAATTTGAATTCATTTTTCCCTGTTTTTCTTTCTTTTTTTCCTTCTTTTTTTTTTCGCATTTGCGCTCTTCCTGCAAGGAACCGGACTGTTCATCACTTGCTGGAGTGCATCAGATCATATGCATATACACTGATTTCACAGATTGCGAAGTTTCACACAAAGCCCAATAGAAGATGAATGAGAACCAGGAAGCTCAACTCAATTATCAGATCCAGATTTAGAGAGAGAACGTCGTGAGTTCAAAGTGTATAGCGCTGAACAGAGTTACGAGTCTTCTTCGATCAACATGAATTCCAAGCCTGGCGCTCATCAGCGCCAGTTGCCAAACACGTCAACAACAGCGCTCAACAGGTAAGTGTCACCATAGCTCACGCTTCCCCCTCTCTCGTCTGCCTTCTTCTCTCTCTCCCTCTATGTCTATAGTCCTGGTCTACCCTCACTCGTCATGCATGCACACTCCCTATCACACGAGGATCTACTCTGAATACTACTCACTGGTATCTCCTACTATCCCTACTAACATGCTAGCTAGCGCTGGCGCAGCTATGGCTGCCTTCCCTCTAGCCAGCACTTGCCTCCTTCTCTCATAGCGCTGCTCTTCAGCCTAGCGCATCTCACACACATCTGCACTTCCACACTCTCATGCATGCGAAGTGAGCATCTGTCCAAATGGGAGGCTGGCCAGTCCTTTATAGTGCTGGACTGGTCTGGCGTGGCCTGCATTCAGCCTCAAATGTGCCTGGGACTCCTGCCCAGTACCGATTGTTGCAAAGTGTGTGTCCCAGTATCTTTTCCCATGGTTTGCTGCTGCTTTGGCCCATCTGGCCTGTCTTTTGGACTCCTGGTCTGAATCAGGACTGACTCGTGGGATTATGACTGGACTGGGACTGTAGCCTGTGACTCATTGCTGAACAGACATGTCTTTTCATCGAGGAGACATGACCCTAAGTCTTGAAAATTGTGTCCAATACCTGTTCGTTCAGGACCTGTTGTGACCTTTCAAAATGACTTTCCACTTCATTATGGATGTGACTTTTACCTCAGGAACTTCGTCTTTTTAGTTGCTGCTCGTGAAGTTAAACCACCAGTACCTCGCCCAGCTATAAAAAAAAGTCGCGGCCGTGTACGTGCCGCAACTTTCGGGGGTCGGCTGCTTCAACGCCCGGTCCGTGCCATTCCCCCCCCCAAAAAAAAAATCGCAAAAGTTGAAAAAAAAAACCTCTTTCTTCGACAAAAGAAAATTTGAAAAACAAAGAAGCCCTGGGGAGAGTCGGGGAGGGTCGGAGAGAGAGAGAGAGAGAGAGAGAGAGAGAGAGAGAGAGAGAGAGAGAGAGAGAGAGAGAGAGAGAGAGAGAGAGAGAGAGCCGGCGCCAAACTCGCCTGGCGCAGCCAATTGCGCCGACTCTCTCTCTCTCTCTCTCTCTCACTCACAGATTCGAAGTAGCAAACGGGAATGAATCTTCCCGACATCACGGGAAAATTCATTCCCGTTTTGTAGATTTGAACCGTGCGGCCCCACACACA